GTCGTTTTTATTTGTTTTTTATTTGTTTTAGTAAGCCGAGGAGAAATAATGAAATCATTAAAAAGTTGCTTTGTTTAAGGGTTTTTGGCCAAATGTAGGGCTGCGCAAAAGGGATGAAAGTTGGTACTTACTTACACTTGAGATTTAACGTGCGCTTTCCGACTGCAGTGTATGTCGCACACGGGTCGGCCAGGCCATTTAGTGTATTTTCCAAAAGGGGGACGAAATTGAAAGTGCAAACGAAATGTGGGCATCAGGGGATGTTTTTGCGAGCAAGGAAATTTGGAAGCTTTGAGCGCATGGACGTCGGTGAAGACAAGCTAAATGGCAAAATCATGGTTCCGATCACATCCGTGGCTGGTTGCTTTGTATTTGGCCGTATATTTCTACCTTCACCTACCTCCACCTCATCCAGGTCAGTCAGTCGTGGTCGTGGTCAGTCGCCCGTTAGTCATCGTGCCATACAGTCGTCATGGCTTACTCTGAGAAATCAACCAACAAGTCCCTCCCTAGGGAACTTGTAGGAGTTATACTCCCTCTCCTCTCTTTTAGGGTAGCCCACTTTACCCTCAACGCCGACCTCTCGGCGGGTACAAAAGCGCTTACCATTACTTTCAATGGCAAACAGCCCCGACACAGGAAACAGCCTATTCACGACCTTGTCTCGGACACAGCCTCAGCCCGGGATACAGACATGCATGAAACCAATCAACCTCAACAGCCTATTCACGACCTTGTCTCCAAGTCCTATTTCACCCCTACCCCCACCTCCTCTGGCGCTCCCACCCAGGAGAAAAAAAGGAAAAGAAGTACCCCCACCCCACACCCCCTACTAGACCATGCTACCCAGACTAAAATAACACCTATACCCCAAACCCCCTGTCTAGACCAAACTACACAAACTCTGGAAATTGAAACCCCCTCCCCTCCCCCCAAGCCACCACCATAGACTACCACACCTCACCCATCAAGGCCCCTGAGCTCTTGACCACCCCCACTCAAACCGACCCCTTTCAAAAAACATTTGTCACAGAAACCCAGCTAACCTCTGACCTCACGCAGCATGCAGATCAAATCCTCTCATCTCATTACCTCCTCCCAACACCCCAACACTTGAAGCCCCTGGCATACGCATTTATAACAGTACCCATGACAGATCAAAACTCACCATCATCCAATATTTAAATCAAGAGCGCTTTGAACTTGAAATCTCCACCATCCAAGATTTAAATTCCTTCCTCATTGACATTCAAGAACAGGGCATCCAACTAACCTCCCAGTTTATCACAAATACAACAGCCCATTTTATATTAAAAAAATCCTACCTCCCGCTCTCCCTCCATGACTACAAACTAACTAAATTTCTGCTAAGCGGCTCCCTTGCCTCTAACACATAGCCCTCCACGTGCCCTCCTATCCGCCTTCGCCATCCAAATCACTAATCGCCACACTCACCACTGTAACAATATTTCGAACCTCCCAAATGCAACAAAGTCACTCAATAGCATTACATTCATTGGAGATTTAACGTGCGCTTTCCGACTGAAGCGTATTTCGCAAACGGGGTTGCACTTATACTATTGGGGTAAAAAAAGCGTAATGAATAAATTAAGAAGTGCAATTAAAAAAAATATAACTTTTACAGCCGGCCCCATAAACACCTTATCTAAATGTCTAACCGCCAACAAAGTAGGTATCTGGCTCAAACAACAAAAAATCCACTTCGCCAAATTACAGAAGTCCACAAAGGATTTCAGATAATCTTTCCCGATCAGATTCCCTAAACGCAGCCAAAGAAATCACACAAATATTTCAATACACCGTAACACACCAAACCCCTAACTGGCAGCTCTACACTAGAGGAGTAATTAGGGTCAATCCTAGAGAAAGTAACGAAGACCTAGAAATGTATGCAAAAGAAGCCAACGATAACATAGACATGTACCCCCAACCTAAAATCACTAGCACTAGAAGAATAACATCTAACAGAAACGGAAAAACCTCCAACACCCCAATAGTTATAATTAACTTCCAAAAAACTGCAAAACATCCAGAAGCCCCCAAATTCATCTCCTTCGGCGCAGCCACCAAACTAGAAGTAAAACCCTATATTAAACAAGTAAAACAATGCTCCAACTGCCTACAATACAACAACAGCAAACCAATGCAAATTCCAAAAAACTAAATGCAGACAATGCGCCCAAACTGACTGCCCAGGGACATGCGCACCCTGGTGCATACACTGTAAAAACACACAACACTCCTCACTCTCTAACAAATGCCCTCACACAAAAGGCCAACAGACACATCAACATCGACACGGCCAAACTCCAAACAAGAAGACAAACACAGTATCCAAAACAACCACTACTACCTACACCGCAACCAGACAACACCCCACACTTTAACTCGGCATGGGATGGCATCCTGCAAAGAGTACACCCAGCACCCAAAACACTCATCCACCACACACCCAACCCACGACCCACCACCACAACACACACGTTCACAACATCCACACCCGCACGCAAAACACTCATCCACCCAACCCACGACCCACCACCACAACACACACGTTCACAACATCCACACCCGCACGCAAAACAGACCGCATCACACCCGCCACGACCAAACCCAACAATACAACCCACAGCTACTAAGGCAACAACACCCAAACCCATGCATTCACAACACGAAAACTCAAACAGCAAGGAAACTACAGACAGACCCATCACGCAAACACAACCAAACACACAAACAACCCCCATGGAGTGTGAGGAAATAAATCAAAATAATACCAACGAATACAATTACACAACCGAGGAGGACGTAATGACATTACTCATTCAGCCCCTAAAAAAAACAAAAACTATAAACGTAAACCCCAACCACTTTCCAATAACAAATTAAACAACCTAACCATCCTCCTTGCATACATGCTTAGGGAAATCAATCCAAACGCCAGCACTAAAGCCCTACATGCCGTAGCGTATAAACTTAGACTTACTACCCTAACTTACGAAGTCTTCAACTTTGGCCTGCAAGCAGTAACCTCAAAGTAAAACCAAACCAAATCCTAATCTCCAACTACTAAAACCCCAAATAATGGTAGATCTAAACATATTCCAGTGGAACGCTGACGGGCTTAACTCTCACGGCCACGAACTAAAGGCAAAATTTAAACAAAACAAAGGCTCGCATATTGCTTGCATCCAGGAAACCAAATTTTCCAAAAAATCTAAATTTACTCCACCCTACCTGGGGCACAGGCGACAAACTAGATAACCACGGCAAATTAATCTCTGAATGGATAGAAACAAACGATCTCGTACTGCTAAACAACAACCAACCCACTAGATATGACAAAAAAAACACATAACATGTCGGATATCGACCTAACCATTTGCACTGCAGATCTTGCACAAAATACTCAATGGGAAGTTTACGACGCCCCCCTAGGAAGTGACCACTTCCCAATAAACATAACCATAGGCAATACTAACGTCCCCACCCAAACAGAAAACTCAGAACCTAAATTCAGCTATAACCAGGCTGGGACAAATTTCACGAGATCTGCAACCAAGCTAATCTAAAGGAACTAGAAAATATTGATCCAGAAATCTACTGCAAAAACCTAACAGATTACATAATTAACGCAGCTGAAACTTCAATCCCCTATAAAACAAATAAAATAGGCAAACCCTCGGTACCATGGTGGAACGCCTATCGATGTTTTTATCATATCATGAATATTAATGAGTTATATTTATTTTTACTTTTTTATTTTTCTAGATATGCCAGAAACACGGACAAAAGGGAAACTTCATAAAGGGTTCACAGAACTTTAGAAAGACTACCATGTCGCTGGAATGCCTCTCAACAAACAGACAGTCCTTCGCCTCCAAACAGCCACCCTCAAACTTAAAAACTATTTAAACAACAACTTACTTAACTTTTCAACAAACCCTTCCATCTGTCTAAATTAAGCCCCCACCATATCATTTATAAAGTCACTTATTATATTATCAGCCATGGTGATTTTACATTGGAATTGCAATGGTCTCGGGGGAAATGGGCATGAGCTTAAGGCCCTCATAGCCCAAAATAAAATTCAAACCTTTATCATAGCTGATAAAGAAACCCTTCTATCACCCAAAAAGGCCTTCAAAATACCAGGTTGCCAATTCATTCGGAAAGATAGCCCTGCCGAATAGAGTTGATAGGGAGAGTTTTGTAAAAACACACCCTACTTCGCAGAAACTCACATGTCCCGATCATGATCAGGAGCCAATTGTACCAAACACACCCTGCTTCGCGGAAAGCACGTGATTTCCGTGAAGGCCCGGTTAATGATTGGAACATAATGACTGAGTTTCTGAGAGTCAGTTTGGACAGTAAAGCGGTGTCTTGGCCGTTGTCATTCGGCCGTATATTTCTACCTTCACTCACCCACCCCACCCAGGATCGAAATCTCTAGCGCGGACTGTCTTCTCCGACGTCCGCGCGGCCAAACCCATAAAGCCAGCCTAAACAAACTCATTCCCAATTAACCATACAACTAAGCTTACCAATCACTGCGAGAATGCACGGCACACGAATCAAGTCCTACCGTACCACCCCTCCCCACCCCAGCGTATCTAGACTTACGCTAGGCTTTTACCTCCTTTTTTCTTGTTACTAAACCCCCATATTACTAAAGAGCAGCTTAACTGCTACTATCGTCCCACTATGCTATACATTAGTTAGGGTATTTATAGGTATTAGGATACTTCTATCTCTTCTTCCCCTCTCTGTGTTAGGTTATACCCCTTACCTTAGTTTTTTGGGAATGGTGATTATGCTTATTATTATATTATTTATTGTTTTTTCCCCCACCTTCCCCGACTGCGAAATAGCCGACGGCTGAAGCGGTCGTAAAACCATTCAATCTCTCCCTCTCACCCCCCACCCAGTGGCGACTCTTGGTTATTTGTGTGTTGTAGCATCTGGGTTGCCTTACCATGGCTCATACGGAGAGATCTATTAACAAATCCCTCCCACGGGATCTAGTTGGGGTGTTTATCCCGCTCCTGGCATACAGGGTCTCCCACTTCTCCCTCAATGCCGACCTCACGGGAGGGATAAAGGCCCTAATAATCACCTTTGACACCTATCAGCCCAAAAGAACTAGGGCACCGCCCCACTCTCAACTGCCACGTCGTGACCTGTTCCCAGCCAACGCTCAGCAGCCAATCACCCCCCAAGCCCAAGCGCCAGATCCACTCTATGTAAATATGGACTCTCTGCCACAAACTTCATCCATTGCAAATAACTTTCATAACTAGGAGGCCCCTAGGAGGCCCCTCGAGCAAATCTTAACCTTTAAATCCACCACTCTCCCCACCCACATTACCTTCGGGGCCCTCAACTTTAAAGTTCACCCAATTCGGAAAAAACCCACCTCAATGTATATACTGCCACTCCTTCAATCACAAATCATCAGATTGCAAAAAAAAAACACTCTGCCCCAAATGCGGTTCCGAGAACCACCCAATCCAGGAATGCTCATGGTCACCCTATTGTGTCAACTGCAATGCAGAAGAACACACCTCCAACCCCACCCCCCACCCCCCAACCCCAGAAAAAATCCCCACTAAAGACTCCCACACCTCCCCTAGGAGGCCCCCCGAGCAAATCCATACCCCCACGCAAACTGACCCCCAACTAAAATCCTCTGCTACTGAAAATCAGACTATCATTGACTTAAACTCGCATGCCGACAAAATCCTAAATGACCATTATCTCCTCCCCTCACCTCTAATGCTCCAAGCCCCTGGCATACGCATTTACAAAAGCACCCACAAACGTCCAAATTTCACCATGATTCAATATTTAGAACAGGAACGATTCGAACATGAAATTCTCAGCATACAGGACTGATATCCAAGACCAGGGCATCCAACTAACTACCCAATTCATCATTAACAGTACTGCCCACTTTATCCAAAAAACCTACCACCCCCTCCGAGGACAGGACTTCACAATGGCCAAATATCTCCTATCGGGTTCCTTGGTCGCCATCACCTAACACCACCTGGCATATACCCATGTCTGCCTACAAATAGCAACTTTCCTTAAGGATACAAACTTATTAGCAAAAATTTAGACTATCCCAAACAAATTTATCATCATCATCATCATCATTGGAGATTTTACGTGCGCTTTCCGACTCAAGCTTATTTCGCACACGGGGTTGCACTTTATACTATTGGGGGAAAAAAGCGTAATGAATAAATAAAGAAGTGCAACTCAAAAAAATATAACTTTTACAGTACTAATCTAATAAAGCTGCGGGGGTTGGCTGGGAGGGTGAGGGTGGTAAAAGAAGACTCAATAATATGGTAAAAATTGGGCATGGGTTGGAGGGGAGGGGGTCAAGCGTGGGAAGGCACGGCGTCGGCTGGCGAGCGTTTGGCTGGAAGATTACTTGCGGTGGCCCGCAAGGAGTATTGCTGCAAGTCTTTCCTCCTTGAAGAGACTCTTGGTGAGCATGGCGGCGGTCTTGGCGACGAGATGCCTGTTTGTTTTGAAGTCCGCGTCCAGGAAGAAGTGGGATAGGTCCGAGTAGCTGTGGATCTCGTGTTCAAACTCTTCATCATCTAATTCCTGGACTATGATGGGCGGAGCCCCTTCCTTAGTGTACACCCTCTCCGTTTCGGTGAAGATGATAGTCTGGATGTCGGGGTGCTTCTGGTAGTACTTAAGTACTGAATCCGCCTTCTCTAGCGAAGCTTGGTTGCCGTTTCCCCCTGGGGGGTCTTCGACCGGAGTGTTCTGGGTTTGGCTGGTGTTAAAGCTGGGTAGTTCTGGAGTGGCTGTTTGGGCGAAACTGTCGGCTAGAGAGGGTGGTGCTGGTGAGGGCGTCTGGCATTCTGCAGACACGGTGATGGCTGGTCGGGGGGAAGGTTCGGGAGAGGGGATGTCTCTCCTTTTCCTCTTCTTCCTTCCGTGGCCTGTGCCCTTGGGCGAGCGAAAGGGCTCCTCCCCTCTGGATTCGAGGGGAGCGAGTTCCAGTGCTGCTGCGGGGGGCGGGGTGTGGAGGGCAAGGTTTCCTCTCCATGTGGAGAACTGGAGGGGTCTTGTCCTTTTTGGCGGGCCTGGCCTTTTGCACCGGGCGGGGTGCAGGGGGGGTTGTGGCCTGGGTTGCTTCCTTCTGAGGCTTGGTCTTAGCCTTGGCTTTGACCAGAGGTCTCTTCCTTTGACCGACGTCAAAGGTGATGGAAAGGGTGGAGGAGTTTGACTAATAGGAAATCTTGAGGGAGTAGTCCCCAATCGGTAAGCCAGCAAGGGCTCCAGGATGGAGACAAGCTCCCTCGGTAGTGTCTCTCATTATGGATAATGAGCTGGAGAGCTGGGAAGGACACGTCTGCACGGGGCGAGTGTCCAAGCCGAGATGACAAACTTATCAAGTAATTACTTACTTACACTTGGAGATTGTACGTGCGCTTTCCGACTGAAGCGTATTTCGCACACGGGCCCGGCCGGGCCATTTAGTGTAGCTTTGAAAGGGGAAACGAAAAGAATTGCAACCCAGAGGGGGAGTTTAGTGGTTGCTTATATAGAATTTTGAAATTTTGAGATTTGGAATAAATGCCAGGGCGGTGTGGTGGGTGGACTAAGGGAGTTTGTTAAGGTGTATTTGTTGGTTTGTCTGGTGTGTTGGGTGGTTGGATTGTTATTAGATGCGATTAATTAGGTCTGTTTTAGTTAAGTATATGCTTAGGGCTTTAAATTTTTCTATGTTATTTTGTGGGTTTAGGATTGCTTCTAGGGTAAGAGCCTTATTTAGTTTTAGGTTTGCTTGTAGTGTTGCTCGGTGGGTGTGGTAGTGGGTGCAATGTAAGAGCGAGTTCTATGGTTTCTAGGTGTGTGCAGTGTGGGCACTTCCCGGTTGTGTTTTTTCTTCATTTTTAGGAGTTGGTTATTAAGTTTGGTGTCGCCTGTTTGGAGTTTGGTGATAATTCTATCGATTTTTTTGGGGGGATGGAGGATTTTTGGTTTGGTTAGGGGTTTTTTGAGGACTTTTTGGATTTGGGTATTTGATTTTAGATAGAGATTATGCCATCTTTGGGTGATTTTTCGTTTGTTGATACTTTTGATCTCTGATTTTGATATGGGTAGCTTTAAGCTTATTTCGGGGATTTTGAGGGATTGTTTAGCGGCTTGGTCGGCGTTTTCGTTTCCGTATATTCCTACGTGGGCTGGGATCCAGATGAGTACTATCTTCTTGCCTGCCTCTGTTAAGTTATTTACGCTTTTGAGTATTTGGTTTATAAGTTTAGGGCGGTTTTTGGTGTTTTTATTTTGGAGGGCCTGCAGTCCACTTAGTGAGTCCGTGAGTATGAGGATTTTTTTTATGATTTTTAGATTGACCTTTTAGTCCTATTTTTTTAAGTTTTTGTATTAGCCCGTTGTGCCAAACTATGTCGTATGCTTTTGAGAAGTCCAGAAAGATGCCTGTTGTGTATTGTTTGTTGAGTTGTCCTGTTTTGATGTCCTGTTCTAGACGGGCTAGGTTATCTAAGGTTGAGCGGCCAGGAGTGAGACCGCTTTGGTCTGAGTTTATTATGTTGTTTTGGGTTAAGTAGTGTTGTAGTCTATTTTTTGCCATGGATTCCATTACTTTGCATAGATTGGAGGTAAGAGATATTGGTCTATAGGAGTTTGCTTGGTTGGTTGGTTTGCCGGGTTTAGGGATAGGGATGATTAGAGCCTCTTTCCAAGGGGTTGGTACCTGGTCGTTTTCATAGATTAGGTAATAGAGTTTTAGTAGTGCCTGGAGTAGTTTGGGGGGGGGGGGGGGGGGGGGGTATTATTTGGTAGGAAGTTAAGTCTAGACCTGGGGCTGTTCCCTCTTTCCTATTTTGGAGTACGTAGTTTAGTTCTTCTATTGAGTAGGGTTGGTTAATTTCTAGGTTATCATTATTTGGTTCTTGGATAGGTTTGGCTTCTGCTTTGAGTTTTTGTTAGAATTTATCACTGAAGTTGTTATTACTGCTTGTGGCCGAGAAGTGGTTTGCTAGGTTATTTGCTTTTTTGCTGGGATTGGTTGAGTTGTTTATGTTAGGTGTTTTTTTGTGACGTTTTAGGCCTCTAACAGCGTGAGACCCGTGAAGATTCCGGGGTAGAATAGGTCTTCAGCAACCCATGCTTGCCGTAAAAGGCGACTATGCTTGTCGTAAAAAGCGACTAACGGGATCGGGTGGTCAGGCTCTCTGACTTGGTTGATGAATGTCATCGCTCTCAATTGCGTGGATCGATGCTCATGATATCAATCACTGGATTGTCTGGTCCAGACTCGATTATTTACAGACCGCCGTCATATAGCTGTAATATTGCTGAGTGCGGCGTTAAACAACAAACCAACCGAACCGTCTAACAGCTTGAATTTTGCGCCAGACCGTTCTGGCGTCTGTGCGGTTGTTTAGTCCCTCGCAGAATTTTTACAATCTCTGGTTTTGGCTATTTTAACTAGGTTTTGGACCTGGTGGTTTAGTTGGTGAGCTACTGGTATGTGGTTGTGATCGCGTTTGGCTTTATTGAAGGCTGTTTTACGTTTTCGTCTAGTTAGTTCTATTTCCTCGTTCCACCAGGGTACAGAGGGCCTACCTGTTTTATTGGGTTTTCTAAAGGGGATTGAATTTTTGGCTGCGTTAATTATGTAGTCTGTTAAGTTTTGGCAGTAGATTTCTGGGTCACTATTCTCTATCTCTTGTAGATTAGCTTGGTTGCAGATATTTTGGGATTTATCCCAGTTAGCCTGGTTGTAATTAAATTTAGGTTCTGGGTTTTCGGTTTGGTTGGGGACGTTTGTGTTGCCTATGGTGATGTTTATTGGGAAGTGGTCACTTCCTAGGGGGGCGTCGTGAACTTCCCATTGGGTACTTTGAGCTAGGTCTGCTGTGCAGATAGTTAGGTCGATAGCCGACATGTCTCTATTGTTTTTATCGTATCTGGTAGGTTGGTTGTTATTTAGTAGTACTAGATCATTAGCCTCTATCCATTCTGAGATTAGTTTGCCATGGTTATCTAGTTTATCCCCCGTGGAGCCAGGAGGGGTGGTCGGCGTTTAAGTCTCCTAGGAAGATAGTTGATTTGTTGCCTTTTTGTTTGAGTATGTTTAGATCCGGTTGGATTTTCTGTTGTTGCCAATAGTAGATATTTCTGATGTTTATTTTTTGTTTTTTTAAAGTGATTTGGATGCCATTGGCTTCTAGGTTTGGAGTATTAACTTTGATTTCTTCATAGCTTATATCCTCTCTAATTAGTATAAGTAAGCCTCCTGATGCTCTAGTGATTTTGGATTTGGGTCGATCTAGTCTGACTATGTTATAGTTTGGTAGGTTGAATTTGGATTTATTTGAGAATTTAGTTTCCTGGATACATGCTATATGCGGTCCTTTGTTTAGTTTGAATTTAGCTTTGAGTTCGTGGCTGTGCGAGTTAAGCCCGTCGGCATTCCACTGGAAAATATTGAGGCCTGTCATTATTTGTTTTTTTAGCGTTTGGTAGAGTTGGTGGTTTATGTTTGCGATTTTTGGTTTGTTTAGGAGCTGATTTAGTAATTTCGTTTATGTCATCATCTGAGGTGAAATCTTCGTCGTCTACGTTTATTGTTTCCTCACACTCCATGTTGGTTTGCGTGTCTGGTAATGTTTGTGGGTGCAT